CTTTGCCAGCATTGCCACGTCATTTTATTTTCTTGAACAGAAGCATTGAGTTATATCATATTTATTTTTCTCTTGGCAAAATGTACTTCTTGAAGTTAGCATCTGCAGTTATTGAGTATGGCTTACCGTAACAATCTTTTTTTTTTTGACAATAGGATAATTCTGTGCGCAGCTGGGCGTTGCGTGAGACTTTGCCAGCATTGCCACGTCATTTTATTTTCTTGAACAGAAGCATTGAGTTATATCATATTTATTTTTCTCTTGGCAAAATGTACTTCTTGAAGTTAGCATCTGCAGTTATTGAGTATGGCTTACCGTAACAATCTTTTTTTTTTTGACAATAGGATAATTCTGTGCGCAGCTGGGCGTTGCGTGAGAGCTCTCTTTGCGAAATTCCTTTTCCTTTGAGCTCTCCTGGGTTAAATAATCCAATCAATGTATGGCATAATTCTTCCAATCTCTTATTCATTTTCCTCCCATCCCCAGCTTGTTAATGTACTATAGGTTGCAGCTTTCACAAGTATCAGACCTATGCTTTGGCCTGGCGCTATCCCCTGGAGAACTTGTGGTTGCAGTGGTATGTTCTGACATTGACCTTGTTAAATTTGTTCCGCTGTGACTTTAATACAGGGTTATCTTACTGAGTAAAATTGATGGACTTGATTCGAGTCTGCAGTATTTTTTCTGGAATAAATGGTTTATACTAGACAGCTGCCTGTTAGTTTTGTTGTTGTTCTAGAGAACATACCATAAACCAGAGGCCTCTCAAGCTTTTTTTACATCACAAATATGTTCAGGTTTATTATGATTTACACGTAACCATTTGTCTTTCCTGCAGACATGTTCTGTTGCTATAATTTTATACATGCATATGTACTAGCGTGCTGTAAAATTTCTGCCCTGATTTATATATCTCTACCATATATTTAAAATATCTCATGTTTAGATCTCATTGCATTATATTCAATATAATAATATCTCTAACGAGTATGGATAGTCACGTCTAACGTGACACATTTTATAAAATTTTTATTTAGTTAAATGTGAAATGTACTGAACTGGCATAGCTGTACTCTTTCATTCGTTGAAGCCTGTCACATGTCTTTTGTTATCTTGGTCTGGATGAAGGTCTTTAAAGTTCATAATGTAATGTGGCAATTTTGAAGCTTAAAAGAAATCATTCTGTTGTAACCACAATGCTTTTTCAGTGATTGAGAGTCTCTTTACATCATATTTTAAACTCAATATTACGAAACAATAGTGCAATATAGTAATAGGCGGGGATCACATCCCGCTAGGTGTGAATGAAATCTCTCTGGATGTTGGTGAGGCCTGGCTCACTGGTAGAGCAGGGTATTGGAATGGGAAGTTCCAGGATAGGATCAGGCTGTGGCCTGATTTAAACAAAACTCACTTGATAAGTTGCATAATATGACTTAAATGTGTCAGCTGATTATAAATGTATATAAGCACACTGGGATGACAGAGGACACTGCGTATAAACCTTGATGACTTGCCCATGTTTGCCCCAAGTACTGGATCAATTTCTTGGTGCCTATACCATAAGAGAATCAACCAGTCCACACTATGGATCTTTGTTGAGGGTTCTAACAACAGAATTGTCCATACATTGAAATAATTGGCGATATAATTCTTATGATTGAATTATTCAACCGCAAAATGCTATTAGACTTGCTGTGATGATTATGTTTTTCTTTTCTTTCTTTGTTTTCCCCATCCATCATTTGGGCATAAAACAGAGTGGAAAGTAACCGGTTATAAAATATATGGTTAGAATTATATGAGCTAAATATCCAAACATTCTAACCGTAGACCTAAGAGATTTGGTACTAAGAGTTGACCATTTTCCTCCTATTTCTATATGAGACAGAAAATAAAACTGAGAGAGCATTTAACGTTGTGGATGAAGTGGGATTCACAAGAATGGGGAGGATGTGGCTCTAAATCACTTGGAATCTCTCTCTCTGCTCCTCCCTCTCATGCTATTGCTTTAATATGGCGTTTTGGTTACACATGAAACATATAACTCTTAAAGCTCAAGTGAAGTAAGACAGTCAAGAATTATGGGATTCATTAGGTAGTATTTATTAGAACTCTCTCACACAATTTGCTTTTGTGATGAATGGAGAATCAGCAACTCCCAAGGGGTGTAAGTAAAAGTGACGTATAAGTAGGTGCTTGATGAATGATGACAGACATTGATTAATGATAAAGATAGTGCTTCAGAGCACATGGTGAAAGAAAAATGAATAATTGGATGCAAGCAACAAATTTCAGTGAATGGTCATATTTTTGGCATAAAAGAAATAAGAAATTTAAGGGAACAAACTTTAAAAAAAATTATGTTGATTGCTAATCATGTGATGCTCTTGTTTAATGTCATAACTCATAAAAGAACCTGCTTGCTGGATGAGGGATGAATCAAGCATGTACTGTGTGTGTTTGCGTCAACATTTACGAGAAAGTATAATGATTGGCATGGCTTTGCAAGTTTTGCAGTTCAACAGCGGCCAAATGTTGTGTCAAGCATAGATATTGGCAACGTCTCATTTTGGCAATGTTCTAAAGCATGTTTTCATTAGATATCAGTTCGAAAACACATTAAATATATTTAATGTTAAAATATCAAATATCATAATAAAGAAAAATATATCAGATTATATACTAATTAAATATCTTCAAAATCACTATAACTCAAGAAAATAAGACTTCAGAGGCATATCAAAATTAGATCAACATCCGGAGCACAAGCTTACTCGACCTACAACTACGAAATTTGAAAAGAATTGAAAGAATCGGAATAAAAATATAAGTAAATTGAAATAACTGAATACATACTCGTCACTCACAGTCGCCATGCACCGGGTTTTGCTCAACATTGATCGTCACCACAGAGTCTTCGCCGTCTACCATCACTCTTCTATTCTGCTAAATGAAGACAACCACATAGGGTTTAACAGGGAAGGAACTGAGAGTCAAATTCGAGAACACTATGCTTAAAGTTTTATATTGGTTACAATGATGGGTCTTGTTTCGGGTTTAAAACTGCATGTTAATGCTGTTAATGCTGTCAGGTTTGGCAGTTTCATGTGGAACTGGGCTACATATGTTTGTGTGGCTGCATAAATCTTGCCTCAGCACAATTAATGTCAGACCAAATGTCAAAGAAACCTACTTGTTGAAGGGGACATTTCATTAAATTTATAATAATCTCAAGCTTGCAGATCGAGCATGATTCACAGAGCTAGTCTGGATTTAAATTCTATATCTATGGGTAAATGAATTAATATTACACAGATAAGTTTGATTGCAGTTTTAGCTTTGCATTTGAACTACAGAACCTTAAAAATAAAGTTGTGTGCAAGTTATATGTTTCTTACAGATATTTACACGCCTTTTGAACCTGCTGATAATTTTTTTGGTTTCACATGTGGAACTGATGTCCACTTTCATTGTTGAATCTGATCTAGACATTGTTGGTTGGTGCTGATTGCCGGTGTTGTTTCTAGGATACAGTACCATATATTCTTTAAGGGTATATAGGGTTAAATATGGATGACGTTTGGTATTTTCAAATATGATGCGGAAAGTGATCATTAATTAAAATTGATGTGGCACATTTATAACATTATTTGTAGTTGTCAAATGATTTCTTTCTTGGTGACTAACAATAGGATATATTCGTTACAGGTCCGCAGTTTTGATTCTGCACTACTGAATCAAATGTATCAGGCCAGGTGATTGTCCCTTTGAGTAAATTAACTTATGAAAGATTGCAAAATGGAATTTTGAATGCCTCATATTAAATGCTTGTAGTATTCTGATATTTAAGTTCCATGACTATGCAGGACTCAAAAAGCAGCAGTTGAATTTTGCTGGATTGGTGGACATTCATTTGAACCTTCACGAGATCAGCATTTGGAAGGTGATAAAGGGACATCTTCTGGTTTATCTGAGAGGGACTTGGTATGCTGGGAATCCAATATTCTATACTCTCTGAAGCATTATGACAATTTAGACGAGCCACTTGTCCTATGGGATATCTTAATGGCATTGCTTCCCCTTCAGAAATATGAACCTAATTTTGTCCAAAGTATACTTTTTAAATGGATGTCAAGTTTGTTTCCGGATTACCAATCGATTCATTCGGTTGAAAAGATTTTACTTCACGTACAAAGTATGCTACCAAAGATGAGCACTCGCAGGATGCAGCTTTTTAATATCCTCTGCAGAAGATTGATGCGAAGTGAGAGTAAGCTTGACATTCATGAGGAGATGCGTGATTTGAACAATTTAGGAGGTGAAGGACTTGATTTATGGAACAAATTACTTGAAAATAGTGAAAAAGAACTTCAAGAGCGATTTGTGGCTTTTAGTTTCAAAGCTGTTATAAGATGTGCATACCGTTCAACTTCAGTTCCTGCAATTGATAAAAGTTGGTGCCCAGTTGGAGTGGCACAGATGGAAAGATGGGTAGCTATCAACCTTGCACTTGTTTGTGATGAGCTGAAACTGCTTGCATCAGAAGTTGGAGACCTCAGGAGCCGGTATTGACTCTTGGAACTCTATTTTCTTCCTTTGTACAGAATTAGTCAATATATATGAAATAAACTTGCATTGGAATTCATTACTTACTGATAGTTGGAATCAAGAGTAATAATTACTTGATATTCCACTCCAAAACATATTACTTGATATTATCTTGAAAACCACCCACAAGTAGTCACATGACTCATCGGAGGAGGGGGGGCATCACCACTGATTTATCTCTTGGTAGCTTAGTTTGCTAATTGAGGATGCATGTTGATATCCCCTATGCAGATATGTATACACTTAAACTAATTATTGGTGTACACCCTATTTAAATTCTAACATTATGACATTGCATATGTGCCTTTCACCGGCTTAAAATTCTACTTCTCTAATAATTGTTCACTTTTGTTCTGTTTCACATGTTTTCTTTTTAATCATGTTTTCCTTTTTTATTTCAGAATACGTTCAATTTGTGAATATGTAGAAGAAGAAACCTGCAGCTATTGTTCAGCTTTAGTTCCCTTTGAGTCCACAAGGGTTGCTACGTGCAAAGGTATTAAGCATCAAGATGGTACCATAGAATCCCATGAGCTTAAACGATGTTCAGTTTCCATGCAGCTTGGCTCCATAAACTCACCGATGTGGTTTTGTATGTGTTGTGAAAGGCAGGCTATCAATCTTCCCCCTTCATCGTTCTTTACGATGTCTGAGTCCCCTTTGGACGTAAATTATGAGAGTGTATCATTTGCTGCACGGGAATTCTCAGTACCCTTGTGTTTATTTTGTGGGATTCTGTTGCAGAGAGATCTGCCAAATTTTTTGCTGTCAGCTTCCCCTGTATAATATGACGATAATATTTATGCAAAATGAGCAAATTGGTCCGTATGGAGTATTTACATGTCAATTGATCTTAGTAGAAAACAATTACCGCTGTTTAAAAAAAAAAAAAAATCTTTTACTCTTCTGTCATATATGCAGTAGATAATTTATGTTTCAGCTTTAGCTGAATGTGTTCTCACTCACGTAGAGGAAAATATTTGGATTTTATTCTTACATACTCATGTCCTAACCTTTGTTTGGCGAGTTGAAGAACAACTTCTGCGTACTTTCTATGTAGCAGTAAAAATAGGTCTCTTGCCATTGAAATTGGACTTCTGGATGAACTCTTAAATTTTCATTGGTAGTGCAGTTGAATTTTATCCTTGAATTCAAACAGAAGATCTTGCTTTACTTAAGTATGCATACAAATTTCCACGATATATATAGACATTTTTATGACGGGAATAGACTAAACAGAATAGTGTTTCTTTATCATTGAGTTATATTCGATTGGATAGTTCATTAAATAGTGAATTAACATTTCTTAGTATTCAGTTCTTAAACGTGTAGAATCTAACCAGAAGTATTCCTATTATTAGCTATTCATTAGTTTTTATAATTTAATTCAATTTGTGTCCAACAGAACTTCGGTCCTCGTTCAGTTAAGGGCCCGTTTGGATGGACGTAACTATTAAAAGTAAAAAGTGGATCAAAGATGCGACTTCCTTAATTATGAAGCAGAAAGTAGCGAAAGTAGTATTTATTTTGTTTGTTTCATATATTTTTAGAAGTAGCGAAAATAGTACTTCATCATCTTCTTTTATTTATTTATTTTGTTTGGATAGAAATTGGATATATTATTTAAGATCATCTGCCATTGGTAAATCTCTAATTTATGTGGACCTCACTCTTTATCAACTTTCCCTCTACTTCTGAGCTTTCAAGGTCTGAAAAAAAAAATCTAGGAAGTAGGAGTACCGCCTAGACGCCACATCTGCATACATGGAAGTAGCTGAAGTAGTCTTTTCGGAGAAACAAACATAATTTTTTTATTTGAAGTAGGAGAAACTTTATCTACTTCAGTTACTTCTTTACTGCTTTCATGCAAACAAACAAACAAACAGGCCAAGTGGAACTAACGTAGTTAGCGGAAGAATCGGCAAATGACCAATTTTCTTTACGAAAGTCCATTTTCTGGTAAAAATCACAATTAGATATTTAAAAAAAAAAAAAATTTTTTTCTTAGATTGTTCTCAACTATCATCAATCCATGGAGTCCCACTAAGCTAGTGGGTGTGATGTGGGTGGTCCTCCGGAGCTAGGTCATAAACAAGCCACATTGATGCATCAACAAAATACCATCCGTGCAGATTTTGGTACAGCCACTTCTCTCCATCCTTCACCTCTGCTTTTTGGCTTCTTCCGTAATTCTTATTGCGGGCGATCATTCAATGCTTCTTATTTGGACAGATTTATAAAAAAAAAAAAAAAAAAGGAAAAAAGCTTCTTTTGGCATCCAACGCATATTCCATTTAACATATTTGTTGCATGTAGCTACACGTGGATGGCTTTACTAAGCCCACGTCTCTTTGGAAAAATTCTTAATTGCTTATCTTTAATAATTAGGAAAAATTCTCAGACCCAGATTCACATTTTTATCATCTTTAAAGACCCGAGTCCTGAAACGAAACTTTTTATTTGTCTTCCCGTTGACACGTAGCCACACACGTCGGATTTACCCATGCACATGTTTTATACGTACATGGTTTAAATTTAAAAAAAAAAAAAAAAAAAAGGAAAAAAGCTTCTTTTGGCATCCAACGCATATTCCATTTAACATATTTGTTGCATGTAGCTACACGTGGATGGCTTTACTAAGCCCACGTCTCTTTGGAAAAATTCTTAATTGCTTATCTTTAATAATTAGGAAAAATTCTCAGACCCAGATTCACATTTTTATCATCTTTAAAGACCCGAGTCCTGAAACGAAACTTTTTATTTGTCTTCCCGTTGACACGTAGCCACACACGTCGGATTTACCCATGCACATGTTTTATACGTACATGGTTTAAGTACATCAAATAATATTATTTTCGGATGGTAAGTTACAAAGGCATAGATGGTTGTATGTTGGCGGAATAATATGTGAGAATGATATTCTAAAACTCAAATAATTAATGACGGTATAACGTGAAATTGAACCTAGACCTCATGGTAAAAAAAAAAAAAAAGCCTATATCATATGGCAATTCATCATATTTCTAGTACATTTTACTTTTTATATGAGATGGAAAGTTCAGAGTACTTCTTTACATTATGCAAGTAAGTGTTATTTCATAAAATAATTTTTAAATAAAGATAATTTATTACGATCTTATCCTGAGCAAAAGTATCCTACTCCGTTGGTTGGTAGGTTTTAGCTCGGACGAGGCCTGATGGTCCTCCCAAAAATAGTCATAATAGCAAATTAATTAATATCACTCAATTCATTTATTTTTTCTCACTCCATATTCATTAATAGGCCGTAAGGAAATAGGAGAATATTCAAATACGTACTGTTAGTTGTTGGCAATATATCCTTCACATTCTTTTCTCTAATTTTTTTTTCCTACCCATCTAAAATTTTCCAAGTGTGCGCACATTTGGACTACAGTCTAAGTTTGAATCCTAAATTATCACCTAACATTTGGGATTATCTCGTCAGGGTTTGAGACTTTGTAATTTCCATTTGGGAATTACTTGTAATAATTACTATTTATTGACAGCTGAACTATGCTTTAGTCTCCATGTGGTACAAAAAAAAAGTCTAAGTTGGCAACAACCTCAAAAAGAAATGTGGAAATTTTGGATTTAAAGAGTAAAGGGTAAATTAGAAAATAAATAAATAATTGATCATAATCCAAAAGGATAACACTCCTTTCCCAAGGACTGATCAGAGAAAAATACGAGCTAGGTTAGTATTTATCCATCTATCTTAGAACATATACGTACGCACATGATTATTCTTAAAATAATAGTGCTAACACATATTCTCTATTTTGAATGAGCACTTCAATTCCATGAGCATTTTTTAATCATTTAATCATAATATTCATTGAGCTTTGGATTGCACATTGATAGGTAAATTAATATTATTGAGTTTGGTCAACCCCCTCATTTAGAGTTCAACTACATGCGCTTAGTGTTAACTACCAAATAAAGCGCATGGGTTTGAACTTTGTCAACCAAAATTTGCTATACATAATAATTTGAAAAGCCAATTATTTTAAAATTCAACCTTTCAAGTTGCATAAGTCCTGAGGCAAGGACTCAAGAAAAAGAAATAGAAGCATATGATGAAATTTGGTGGAATATTGACTTTATTAATTCACTAACTCTCTTTTGCCCTGCTATATGCAATCCCTCTTGCAAGGTAGTTAGTCTTTAGATTTTTGTTGCCAGGTAGTTGGTGTTTAGATTTTCGTATTTGTACATCTCATGGACCGGAAGGAAATTTTTAAAGTTTTTCTTTTCTCTATTGAATATTTTTTACCTGGAACTTCATGGACGTCCATTGCTAGATCCGTAATTATTATCAACTAATAGCCAACCTTTAACATTACAAAAAAAGAGAGAGGCTCACATATTTTAGTTCGAATGGTCATAATTTGTCTAAAAACAAACCTTAACATAAAACTATGTTAAGTTAATCTGAAAGTTAATCTGTATGAAAACAAACATTCGGTTACAAGTAGTCCTAATACAATTCACGTATTATAGTCCAGAGAATATATTACCTCCTACACCAGGGATAAAAAAGAAACTCAGCCTTAAAAGGCATACACCATATGGATATATATAGTGACCATGTGTATTATTCCTACTATCATTGTGCACAAGGTTTATGCTAGTAAATTTAGGAGCTTCCGTTCGTCCATTTTATATTTATATTATTATCCTAAAGAATAAACAGTAGAAACTAGAAAGTGGATACATGAAAGCAAAATGGTAAAGATAGAATGCAACATAAATTTCTCTCTTCTCTTTGTTCTGTTGAAAGAGGGTGCGAATTACAGGAAAAATCGAAGCTGACAAACTAGCTCTGGTCGGTCTACTGATTTCTCAAATCAGTCGACCGATATCATGCACCATACAGGAGCTGAAAACCTCGCACTGGACAGTCGACCGATGCACCCTTATCGGTCGACTGATGAAGACCTACCGGTCGACCGATAGGGGTGCATCTGTCGACTGACAGCAGATACAGACTGAATTGATTCCTAGCCTGTTTTGGATTGAGTTTAATAAAAATAGAAACATGTTATCTAGGGTTAGAAGAGAGAGATTTAACAGAGAAAATGGGTTGTTTTGAGCACTTTGAGAGGGAGATTATTAAGATGGAGTGAGATCTTGTTGGTTATGATTATTTTGATTGTTTGAGAGAGTTATAACCCATTGCACTTCTCCTCCATATAGTAAAATCTCCTCATCCTCCCCGTGGACGTAGGCAACTTGCTGAACCATGAAAATTCTCTGTATTTGTGATTGGTTTTGGTCGTTCTTTTGTGAATTGTGCTCGTGGTGTTCTTCTCGCATTGTTTACTGACTTATTGTGGATTGTGCACGCTTCCGCCGGACGTAACAAGTGGTATCAGAGCCGGAGTTTAGATCTAGGGTTTGATTTAGGTAGAGGAAAACTCGCTGTTGGAAGCTTGGATCTTGGAGATCTAGGTTTCGGTGGAGATAGCATTGCGGAGTTGCCATTGAACATCTCGCCTTCCTCGTGTGGTTGAGAGATTGTGTTGGAATCCTATCTAGGGTTTAATTTGGGCGATTTCTTAACTCTATCAAGTTCAAAACTTTCCTCTATAATTTAGAGTTAGTAAGAAATGACAGGAGAAAGTGGTGAAAATAGCAAGGCTACGTTGAGTACAGTTCAAGTTGCACTTCAGAATACAAAGATTAGTGTTGTGAAGTATGACGACAAAATCAACTTTGGGTTGTGGATGAGTGATGTGAAGGACGTTGAATGCTCAAAACTTAGAAGAGACAATAATGACTCATGAGAGGCCACCTAAATATGATGAGGCGATATGGGACAAGATG